AGGGGAAGTTATTTACAGTTAAATTTAAAAAGTATCGTCAGCGCTTATTATTTAGTCAATTTGCGGTGAAAAGCTGACACGAATGATTTTTATCCATTTGCTATCTATAATATTTTTTATACCCAGGAACTATATGTGACTTTTACAAGCACGTTTGACGAAGTCAGTAAGAACAACTCTCCTGAAATTTCCATTATTCGTTTTATTGTCCCAACTTCAACAAATATTATACAATCCTGAAGGGTACAATCTCGACTGCAATTAGCTAGGAATTTACAACTGATCGATTCGCATTATCTTGCCACCTACAATTTTTTCTAGTTTGGTGAATTTTTATAGTGACAACTGAAAAGGTTTTTACCCGTCTGATTTCTCTAATTGCGAATCTTAATCAAAGTTTGCAAGCTCACTTGCAATTCACTAACTATTGGAGAAAAAAGATGCGAATGCACGAAAAGAACAACACTGTCAGCCAGGCGAGTTTTTTATTACTATCCAAACGAACAAGTTGTAACGCACCATAAACTAAAGAATAAATTAAATATGTACGTTATTAAAATTGCTTTGTGCTGAAATATATAAACCATTGAAATAAAACTTTCTTGTCCAAACCAATACTGACAAGCCAGACATTTGGATTTTTCAGGCGCTCTAACGTTTTCTATAGTTGATTTAATTTTCATAGTGAAAACTGAAAAGCCATTTACCTGTCTGATGTATCTAAGCGCGAAATCTTCATCAAAGTCGTAGCAATCTTCACCAGGCGTTTTAAGCCTTTATTTGTGTCAAAAAAAATCTGTGCGAAGAGCGTTGGAGTCTAAAGCAGTTCACGAGAAATAGGCTTTTCCACTACAACATGGCAAAGGTGCATCATACAACGCATATGTAAAACAACAGATGAACTGAACAAGACTAGTAGGCCTACGAAGACCATCATGCAAGGGTTTCGAAAAGAAACAATTAATGCTCCAGAGAGCACATAATGATTGTCCTTTGCTTCTTTGAAGTAGCTATTCAAAGCCAATGAATTCACTACAAACGCGATATTGAGCATCCGAAGAGAAACGACAGCTGATTAACTGTACTATTATAAGCACGCTTGGCGCAGAGACTTCACACCCAAATGTATTTATGCTTTCGTGTGATATTCAAGCGTTCTACGAACTCGACTATTGGACATTGGACTTTTTCAAACTTTACAGTATGCTCTTGCCACCTACTGTTTTTCTAGTTGATTTAATTTTTATAGTGGGAACGGAAAAGCTTTCACCCGTCTGATTTATCTATACGCGGAATCTTCATGAGGTTTGCAAACTCACTTTAACTGTCTTTTCTTCATAAATTATTCATGAGTTTTTTAAGGAAAGATAAATAATATTCAAATCTTTCCCCGATTTCAATATTTATAACTACATACGACGGTCTTGATATCTTCTATGACCAATATTTACAAAATGAATTTTTAAATTTCTATCGCTTGACACTTCCATAGCCTGAGTTCACATAATATTGCACAGGAGAAGAGTGTTTCCCGTTTGGTTCTAGCAAAGAAAAGTTTTCTTCTGGTATTTGGTTTCCGTCTGTCTTAGAACCACTTCACTTAATAAGAACGTCCGTTACTTCGAACTGATACTCTTAGAGAGATGCAATATAAGTATAGGTAATCATGTGTTGGCGATTATAAATGGGGATTAGTGGTCCGAGTGATGTTTGGAAATTTTTCCAAAATTGGACGAGCCGCCGGGGCGAGCCCAATTTGGCAAATTTGCAAACATTTCGAGTACTATTAATCCCTAATTGTACGAGCAACATTGAATGATTACTTGTCTATTATTAGCATGATAAAATTGGATACTTCTCAATGTGAACATCATATTCCCTCTGCCTCTCGCCAAAGCCCAGTCCTGCCATACTTTCGACCAAAATTTGGCGCTTTTGTTCGTCTTCTAATCTAGTTCCCCCCGGGCAATATCATTTCACATTTGTATTAAAAACACCTTTCCGCCATTTTCTTTGGTTCTGGGAAAATCATTAATTATACTGCAGTACATTAAATACCGATCATAACGTCCTACTGAGAAAGCTTCAACAAATGGCCGTACACCCTGTTCTCATTAATTGGATTGCCGTTTTCTTGTCTAACATATTTCTGAGAATCAAGAGGGGTTAGGACTGCTCTGCTTGAAAGTATATTCAAGCTGGCTTCCACAGGGTACAAAACTACCGTAGGTCACTTATTTTATTAATCACGGTAAATGATCTCAAACGGGCTACCGACCTTGGCAAATTCGTTGACGATTCCAAAACGTGGGAAGTTCAGCACAGAGACTCTCAATCCAATCTTCCCTCAGCCGTGAAAGCGTGCGAGAAATGGACATGTGAAAATAACATGAAGTTGAACCCTTCGAAGACGAAAAAGATGCGCGCGTCTAATTCTCGTCTAATTCTCCCTCTTGTACCGATTCCCCTTATTACGTTTTGGTAGCGCTTTGCATTGTGGTTACAGTGGTATCACCGACATTTAAGATGGCTTTTCTTTGTCCTGACCCGTTCAAGAAGTTTTTAAAAAAATCTTGGGTCAGGTGTGCTATAGCCAACAGCATAATATTCCCGAAAACATTCAATATTTTCATTCGAGGCCGCTATCTTTATCAGTGATATTGTGATACCACTACAACAATGAAGCAGTCAACATCGTTACGCATGCCAAGCTACTGGGCGTTACAATCTGAATGACTTGAAATGGAACTTGCACTAAATGCCATCTGTAAGAACGCTTCCAAGGGTTCATATGCCCTGCGGCTGTTGAAGGGAAACGCCCTTCCGGACTCCGTCCTAGTTAAGGTCTATCGCGCGTGTGTTCGACCTATCCTTGAGTACGCATGCGCAGCGTGGCACAACAACCTCCCTGTGTACCTTAATAAACAAATAGAGCAGATCCCGAAAAGAGCTCTACGAATTATCTACCCTTACTTTACCCACAGTCAAACGATGCTCATAGCCAACGCTCCATCGTTGTACGCTCGCCGAAGCACCCTTTGCGAGCGTCTTTTCCACAGAATGGTTGATCCAGGACACAACCAAACACGCTTGTTCCAGCTCTTAGGACTAACGAGCACAGTCTACGCCATAATAGGTGTTTTAAAGTCCCAGTTTGTAGCACTGATCGCTACCATAAGAGTTTTATACCGTCTGTAGCATCATTATATCACATGAAACATTTTTAAATCTTAAGTTTTAATATTCTTAAAACGTATGTTATTGCATCACTCTAGTTATACAGTATTTCATAGTGGTAAAACCATATGTAACTTCTACTTTTGATATCCTTAAATCATAGGTTACTACATATTCCTAGTTATACGGTAAAATCTTACAGTTGTAAAACATGTGTTATTCAGTTTTAACAGCAAAATTGGTTCCCAATTAAACGATTATTATAATATAAGGAGACAACCAGTAGGGCCACCCAAGGCAGATCTGTCAAACAACTTTGTTGTGAACTGCTGCCGTTTACTGGCTGCCAATATGCTAATCAGGTTGGCAGTCAGTAACAATGCGGACACCTTCTGACGCTGGGTGACCCTACTGTTGCTTCCCTCTACTGTGGTTATACTGTAGTTCCATGGTCGTACGGGCCTAGTTTTGCTTGGGCGGGGGGGGGGGCACAGTATTGATTTGCTTGACCGCTTTGCATTATGTACATACAACAACTTTGTTCCAGATTTTGTCAGGGCCTCTTTAAAGGATTTTCGCGTGTGGGGGCGGGGGCTTTTTTTTTAAAGGGGACCTTTCTGTGAAATAATATTTTAGTGGGGCATAGCCATGTGACAGATCATACCACGTATAAATCCCTGGGAGATCAGAAATTGGAAGCCCGAAAATGCCATTTCCTGCATTCTGAGCATCCAAATTTGCTCTAAAATGTATGCTAATTGTACTTGTATTTCAAATAAAAGAAAGAAAAAGCACAAAATGTAAAAAATAATAAGCATAATTTATGATTACTTATTTATAGACTGGGATAGCAATGTAATGGCCGAAGGCCACGCGTGTGGGAGCATGCTCCCCGAGAAAATTTTTGAAATATGCTCTAAATTTTATGCTAACTATGCTTGTATTTGAAATAAAAGAAGGAAAAAACCCACATAAAATTAAAAAAAAATTAACGATAAGTTATCGTTACTTTGTAGTAGAAAAACATGACAAGTTAAATCGATTTTGTTAAACAATGAATCAATCTAACATGCAGTCAATCTAGTATAATGTATCACTCGTGTAATAAGAGATAAAGCTTGGGGCAACTCTTCCTGGTGGTTTCCTTTTTCTTTTCTTCACATTAGGGATTATTTTAAAGTTGAGTGAATACTAATATATTTTATTATATGCAGTTAATACATTTGTAGTTAATAATAAATGTTTTACGTAATAATGAACTTAAAATAAGTAATTAATTTCTTAAAACAGGAATCAGGATTTTGCTGTGTGGGTATTGACCAATCATGCAAATTGCGTAGACCCAACTTCCAAAACGTAATACATGAAGTATCAAATATATGAATGGATAGCGTACCTGTGGCTTTACTAAACCACATGCTGACAATTAGTTTCTGAGCATCGCAACCGGGAATCAAACACACAATTTCTGATTTAAAGCACCAGCGCCCTAACTACCCACTTAGGAATATTATGCGCACAAACAACGCGGGATATCCAAACTACAGATACGATGGGCAGTCCGTTAACGATTGTCTGATGATGTACTGATGATTGTCTGATGATGATTACTGCTGAATTAGAATCTCACAATCATTTTTACTAAGTTTCTCACTCGTTGGTGAGCGGATTTTGCTACTGAGGCTATTTCAGAATTGATAGGAAATCCACGACATCTACAATTTTAACATCCTTGTCGGAGAAGACACGAACGTGTAGCTAACCATTCTACTGATGTCAATGTAAAGGTAGCACACTCGCTTTCAATTCATGTAATTTTAATACCTTGAGTAGAGGTCCGACCAAGGATTGAAACGGGTCTAGTAGCATGAAGGGCAAGTGTGGTGACCACGACAACACAAGAGCCAATTAATGTACTGCATGCAATGCTTATCATATTTGGATATTGGATATTCGCGCTTGGAGTATACATTATCTACATAACTAATCTGAGGCAATTGATCGTTCGCTATTTACTAGAAAATTCTGATCATTCCCAACGAAAATCAGAAACTAAATGAACCTCTTGTAAAATGTCAGCAACTTTACAAAAGAAATTGTGGTCCGCATGAATATGGCCCTCGTGCGCTTGATTTGTACAATGCAGTGCGCTATACAGTATATCATGATCAAATTAGTGAATAATTCTCCGGTTCGAATAATTTGGAAAATAAAAAAAACAGACGTATTTTGAAAACTAAATTTAATTTTAAAAACTAAATTGTCAAGAAATGTGTACATCTTATATCAACTACATTGTGTATTGTTAGTAAATTTGATGTTATCCAATCGCTGTCACCTATTTTTAATTAACCAGGTATTCGTTCAGGAAGTGAGGTAGTTTATCCGTAGTGTGGGCACTAGAATATAAAAAAGCCATCATTAGATTAAAATTACAGGTAATGCAGTTGACATCAATTTTTGGCGTTAATTTTATTGCTTTACTAAAAATTACCCTTCAAATGATGAAGAATGGTGGTTACAGTTTTCTCATATCTTATCTCAATCAAGAAAACCGCCTATTTCACAGGTTTTAGTTGACAAGTACTAAAATGTTCCCATAAAAACATAGGCAATGAAAGCAACAGAAACAGCCACTTAATTGCGTTGTTGGAAATATATAACTAATTTATGTAAGAAAGGGGACTGGAAACTAGGCCGTAGCCTTAACAACCACATAAACACACTGAAATGTATGGGTGACTGCACTCAACAACTGTGCAAAGTTTTATTTCGTTTGCTCGAATTTTCTTGGAGATATTCCACTTTAAGTTTTCCTGCAACTTTTAGACAGCTTATGACGTCATAGCTAAAATTACAAAAACTGTAATAACTCTGGATTGAGATGAGTATGAAAAAACCTGTAACCACCATTCTTCATCACTTCAAGGGTACTTTTTAGTAAAGCAGTAAAATTAATTAAGGCAAAAAATTCATGTCATGTACACGACATGAATGCACAGTGTAGATAGTATGTAGAAGAAGTTCAACTTTATTCTTTTCTTGAACTACATTTAAAATAAAAAGATATATATTTCGAACAAACGCCTTTGTATTTTAGCAGTTTTATATCATTTCAGGCAGTTGAATTATCCCTGGAAACATGCCATTGGCCAACGAGATTCCTATTGAGTAAGTGAAAGATAGAGGAACTGTAGGCGA